TAAAACCACGTGCTACCTTATGGCTCAGGTCAACTGGCCTCGCCAACAAACTGAGATACTATCTTTCTCAAAAAACAGTAGCACCTGTTTCTGCTACTGTTTTCTGCTAATGTCTCTGATGATGAATCCGCGACGGATGTCGAAACGTCAGGCGAATAAATGTATTGTTCGAGCGATCGAGTCGTTTTCTTATAAATACTATCTTTCTGTTATCACGACACATAGGGAACTCAAAGGCAACCCATCTACATATCCCTCAAATATACTGTTAGTGATAATGATACAAGACGATCACCGTGTTCTATTAAAAAGCCGGACATGAAAAGGAAATACTATTGGATGCCAATAAACTTGTACGATCGGACGATTTCGGTACAAAAATGCACCGGGACATTCAACTTTCGCACAGGACATGATTACGTCAGGGAGAGTTTCAAAGTTCATAAGTATACGAACTAAAAAAGTAATTCAAATAGCACAAACAAATTAAATGCGTTCGGTAGTCCTGAACATCCAACAACGAAGTAAATTTAATATAATTGAATTTCACTGGGCAAAAAATGAATGAAATTTATCAGAATTTATTCATAAAGGACATTTTAGCACAGTAAAATACTGAAAGTCAAGAAGCATTTGACTACTAGATAATTATCCATATGGCCAAAATAACGACTAATTCACAATTTAATAGTTGTGGCGACATTTTGTCCCATTGGTCTAGCTTGTGATGTGTTTTAGCAACCTGAATCACATCACAGTTTGTGTAAATCATTAGCAACTGTATTTGGAGGAACAAAATACTGCCCGAGGCAGAAACACACCTTCTTCTGTGCATTTTGCAGTAACACAACCTCTGCTCCAGTTTGGAGTAATGAATGTCGGCCCGGGGGACAGGATTGTGGACGGCCTTCGTTCGGCGCACGCGCATTCTCTGCGGTCGAGTTAGTGAGGTCGGCGGTTGAGGGCTCCTCGCTGATACGCGAGAGGGCTTTTTCTGTAGGTCCTCGTCTGTTATCCCCAGTCTCCACGACCTCAGCCTCCTCGTTAGCGCTGGATGGCTCAATGACAAACTTTGGTCGTGTGGAGTGCGAGTTGGTGCCCAAAGGCGTGGCGTGAGGACAGTCATAGTGTGCGCTCTGTGTAAGCCGGTCGTCTGCCCGCTTTTGGGGGGCATTATTAGCGGTGGTGTCGGCTTCGCGGATGGTGCCAGAAAATGCCTGCAAGGTGCGATCTGTCGAATCAGTAGTGGAGGGACCGCTGGACTGTCGCGTTTTACCAGGCCTCTGAAAATATAAAACAATGAAGAGAGCCTTCTTTCTTACATTTCCTTTTTTGACGGGGATCTATCAAGCCAACTTCTACAGCTTTGCTTGAACGCTGCAATCGCGCGCACGTATCTAACATCTAATATTTTCAAGCACTCCACTTCTTCGCCTTGAGGGCAAGGATAGTGCGACATTCATCATGCCAATGTCATATTCGGATTTATTTGCAACTAGCAGCGTGTTAGGACTTGGCTGAAGTATGTGCCCTTAAGCCCGCTTAGTCGTCCACGGATGGTCTATGTTCTTCCTCACACCCTGCGCCCACGTGTTTCGTGTCCCATGGCATGACCCCTAGACCTCGTTGACTGCTTCCCCATTCGTTTACACACTGCAATATTCATTCTAGTGTCCTTATTCACAACTCCCAACGCCCTTTGTTCCCTGCACCGTGTCCTTATTCGCTCCCTCGTTCTTTGATTCCTGCCCATGTGCTTACTCCCTTATAAACTGGCAGCAACACGTCTGCGTCAGTCACACGACTGCTCTTCTAAGCCCCTTGAATGTGCGCCCATCTTTCTCTTATTTTCTACCTCGCATTTTTCTACCGATCATGCACTGTTAATGTTACTCTTTATTTCTGTAGAATCACACCACACTATTAAGTTATCCCGACTGTCTTTTGACACATAAAGAATATCTGATCTATCCCGACTCTCTTTTGACATAACTTCTGACCTCGCGTGCGTCTATTCGGGTGACGAAACTAGCACTGCGATACGAAAGGCCAACAGTATTAACAGATAGACGCCCGTTCGAGAGCTCATCAATGTGTATCTACACCTTTACATGCACCTGTGGGGCAGACAACATTGTTCGAACAACTAGGCAGCTATCCAAGTGTATGCGAGAACACCATCTTGATTGGCTATACAGAAGCGAGGAAAAGTCAATATCTAGCGCGATTTTGGCTCACTTGGTTGACAGCGGTCATCGAGTAGACGTAAAGTTCCTGCGAAACATTCCAAGTTACTGCGTCAGCGGATACTTGCGACGGCAGAGGCAGTCACCATACGGCTCACTAACCCAGCCTTATGTGTGCAGAAGGCGTTTTTATCGGCCCTACGGCTCCCGTGGCCGAAGACCAACCCAACATCCGTCTACACGCTTCTTACCACGCCAAGAAGCGGTTCCTAATTAAGACTAAAATCTGAGCCCCTTAATCCCTTAACACTTCTCCCCTCGTACCCCCTAATTACGACTGATTAGTTGCTTAAATTTTTGCTAACTCTACCCTCCTTTATGTCATTGTAATTGCCTGATTATGAATTAATCGAAAACGTTCGTTCGCCTAACTTGTCTTCCTGAATGCTTACATGAGTATCATCGCTGAAATGAATAATTACTACTATATGACTATTAGTAGAAATGTGTATGCAAATCATTGTGGGCACAAAACCTTTCGCAAAATCAGCATCATTGCTACTCGTGACAACCAGAGAGAACAGGAATCCGGGGAAGATTCGGGCCTAATACTATCCCCGTTATGAGTTATCCGGCACGACTACTGATTGTGAGTGATGCAACGGCCTTCAGAGGCGACTAGCGAGAAAATAAACAAGCATCAAAAATTAATGAGAGAAGTTCATCCTACTTAAGTAGCCATTTTTCTTCCCAGAGCATAGTTTTTTTTACAGACAAGTGGGAAGAAGCTCATACACAAGCCGTTATCCTGACGAGACTGAAATATCTGGTGATTATGCTGTACGCCAATTAATATCATAAGTCTACTTTTGTAATCTTTTCAAGGCCAAAAGATATCTCAAAAGTTTGGCTAACATTTCTCGAGATACCACATCTACTGTAAGTATCGTCTGTTGAGAAATGGCCCGATAATAACTAATGGGCCCGGAAACGTATGTGCACAAAAAAAAAACAAAATAGAATGTGGCACGTATAAGGTCCCCTCCATCTTGTAGGCTACCAAGTCACTGCATTTTACGGTTAGAGCAAAACAGTAAGCCCTATCGGGTTAATGAGCTTCCATTAAATAGGAGCCCAAGAAATTTACTCGAGGAAGAATTGCAGAGAATTGGTTAGGTATGAATAGCATGAAATAAATGCCAGAGATTGAATGCGCCGCTGGCACTCTGCAGGACAATTCGTTTAGGCGATGGGGTGTTGATCGTCTCCATGCGACTGCGAAGTCATGTAAGAAACTTGACGAAGCACCGACAAACTCAAAGTACTCGATTGTGGCATGTCGATGGACGTGTACGGATGGGCCCACCTCTGCTCCATAAACTTAAAAAGTAGATTTAGCTACCCTAAGTGGCGCACATGGGCATTCATAAGCCAGTATCTACACCTGTATTTTGAAGTCTTACAATATTGATTCAGGGTCAAGATATCCCCCATAGCAGCATTTAAAAGACAAATATCAGAGGCCCCTATGGTACGACCACACTTAAAACGGTCGTTCAAGTTTATCGGTAGGTGTGACAGGGTTTTAATCGATACCTGACACTGCAGCGTAGTTGCACACAGAAAGGAATGAGAGTTGCTTCTACCTGATAACCCTCTTTTACCGATTCTGTTCCTTTCCTCCGTCGCAGATCCCCAAAAGACTCAGCCTACATGCATTGCGTAAACACAGGTGATCATTTCTGGTTGGCAGGCAAGGGAATCGTGCTTAAAACCAAAGAATCTCCGTTCGTGGAGACACAGAAAGATATATAATCGCATTCGGGGCAGGATAATCGCTTAGATAGAGAAGACGATCTCTGAGCTAACAAGGTTACAAGAGGGAACGTGGGGCTATGCCGTTATTGTGCAAAGCCCCTCAGTCTTCGCAGACAGTCACATTGCGACGAGACATCGCTACTGTAAAAATATGGCAAAAAGAAAAGGCAGCAGTCATTTGTGAATGTTGGGCTGAATAAATGGCTGACGACAGCAAAAACGCAAGAAACGGTCATTTATGTTTCCTTGGTGGCAAATCGAACAAAATTAACTGTGGGCCTTACCCAACCTTGGCTGCTGTGGTGGTGATGATGGTGCAGCAGTTTTTCTTGGTGTCCGGAACGACCACCGCCATAACCGGGTGGTGGAATTTCTTGGTCGGCTCGTGATGCGACTGCTGTTGCGGAAGACGTCTGTTTAGTCATCTTTACAACCTGAGATATAAGCCGCGTCAGACGCCCACTGTTTGCAGAAGTCAACTCCTGCAGGTGCGACGGCGTATCAGCAGTGGAGTTCTGTTGTGACGGGTCGGTTGCAATGATCGGTAGGCTCAAGTCAGCATGCGGGTTTGGCTCGAGGACGCGAAGAGCCTGCGGTAGGAACTGAAAGAGCCGATCCAAGGAGTGATCCCAGGCAGACCTGTGTGCAGACAAAACGCACAAGTCGAGCAGGCACAATAAAAAAGGAGCCCTCAGACTTAAACTAATGAAAGATAGCTAGGGAAACGCGCGCACAGAGACCGACGCTAGCTTGGATCATCTTTGAGCAGCCTTACCACATGGGATGGTCGTGAGTAGGTTTGAGGGCTGGCCATGAGCAGGGATGCGAGCCGTACATTCGCATAATGCGTTCAGCCAAGAGGAAGTTGCGGAAGAGGCTGGCCACGAGCAGATCTTGACGAAACAACTTCTGGAAAATCTCGCCCGAAAAGCTGCACCAGGCTATAGTGTCCGTCACAGCAGTGAAGATCCAGTTAATTTCACCCAAAAGTGACATACGATTTGAGTGAGAACCAGGGATGCGATCAAGCAGTGCTTCGTCGATATAGCCTGTGAACAGTTCAAAACAGTATTAATAGAAGATAATATATACTTTACAGGTGGTAGAAGCTGTTTTCTAGTCACTAAAAACAAACCTGGAAAGTGTTCCTTGTATTGCAACCAATGCCATTTGAGGGCCGTGCGGATGGGCGTAGTTAGACAGGCAGTGAAGAGATCTGCAGGAAGATCTGGGTGTTGAGGAAGATCCTCAAACTCACGACAAGCAGCCAACATGATAGTGTTGTCCATGGAGACCACCGGGAAGGTAGAAGGCATTGAGTTTGCTGCGAACGTCGGTCGCATAGGAGTCGCAACACCATTCTGAGAACAGGTTAGGTGGGATAGAAAGCATGATTAGAAAATAACCCAAGAGCCCAGCATAATATACAGGCAGCATTAAATTATCTTGATTGGTGTTCATTTGTGACCAGAGGGGGTTAGAGTGTTAAGTGCCTGCGGTTAAAACGGTAAAAACTCATGCATGAGCCTTCCGAAGTCAGAGTAAACAGTGGGTCATGTCGTCGAAGGGGAAAAAGCTAGCGAGTATGGCTGTTCAATTTAAGGCAGAAATCTGGAACTTCGGAAAATGGGCAACAAACATCGAATCAACTGACTTGCATTAACAGGGGAAACTGTAAACTCAGGCTTATCCCCTTCGCGGGCTAACAATCATTGTAAAAATGGAATGAATGGGGAAAAAAGGAGGGTGAGGGGCCAGTGAACGGAAGCAAAACGATCCAAGCTCGAAAAGTCTCCGTGCCAGAAATTCTGATAGCGAAGTGAAAAGGTGGGTGCAGGAGGCACAGCAAGGAGGCAGAATGAAGGATCGTCACAGGTGGAATCGAAACTACGTCGGTGATCCCACGACATACCTGACTGCCCTGCCCAAAGGAGCCGTCGTTGGTCGGTTGTGGACCCTCCGAGCCACCTCGCTTCGAATCCATTTCTTGGGCTGTTAGCAGCTGCAGATGAAAAAATCAGAAGACGAATGAAACTGGAGCAGCAATAACAGCAGCACAATGATTTTAGATCCAAAATCCAACAAGGATGAGCAGGTGTTTTTGATGATGAACCGGTTTCCATGTTCATTTTTACGAGGAAGGAGTAATTGGAGGGGATTAGTTTGCTCATTCTAGAAGCACGCAATTCTGATAGCGGTTGTGACGTTCACACTTGCTAAGCTTATAAAGCGTTTGGGCCTAATAGTTTTGCTCACCGAGGAGGCAACTACTATGTCATGAGGACCTGGAAGGCATGAACGGACACCCTGATTTGTTCTAGCGAAATAAAGCAGCCAGTGTCTTAAAAACCTCAAAATTCTAATAAAATGAGTACATATTGTGCACTTTCATAAAAGATGATCACGTGGACCATAATTTAGGCAACATGCTTATTCAGCTAAACTTAGACGACCTCTTTCCTTCGAACTATATCGAAAAATGTCTACTAACAGTTGCATCGCATGTTCAAGTTACGGACCATGGCCAAATACGAGACTTGAATTACTACTACCGCCATTGCCACAATGAAGGGCAGGCAGAAACAAACACACATTTATGCGACAACGCAGGCACGCCTTACGGACGTGGAGATGTGCACAATTGTGCAAGTCAGGCACCGATCTAAATGCACTTACGAGAGCGAGCGCTCACCTCCTCCCCCCCCCTTTCTCTTTCACCTATTACCATCACCATCACACACACTGTGTTTGGCCGACCACATTGAACAGCCGATATCATTGCCAAGGCGGGGTGGAAGCGGCTCTCGTCTGGCAGTGAGCCAAGTCCTCGCCAGGACTTGCGTACGTCGAGTATCTCACCCGGCGACAGTTGCTCAAACTCCTAATGCAAGCAGGCCCAAACAGATCAACAGTCAAGGAAGCAGGGTGGACGAAGAGTACGACGGTTTGCGTCAAAGCGGTTGGTGCCAAAATTGACTGGAACTACTACTGTTTCTTGTGGGGGCAGTTAAGACTTTAGCACGTGGACTAAGGTGAAGTGGTTGAGCTGATTTGAATCTCTTGACTGTGTTGGCCGTCCTTTAATTGCTCTTGAACAGTCCTCCAGACACTTGATGCCATTCACTACTGGCAGGAC